GAGAAGAATATGCCAAAGAGAGTTGAGGTGAGAACACAGCCCTGTTTCACACTGCTCTTTATAGGCAAGGCATCTGAGGATGAGCCATCATATTGGATGGTGCCACACATGTTCTCATTGAAGAAAACAATCATCTTGTGAAGCTTAAGTGAGCGTTCTATCTTGCTGAGCAATGTGAAGTCCTTTTGACTGACTAGGTCAAATGTTACATATATAAAATGCTTTTGCACATAACATGCTTATAGCCCATATAAAACGTTTTGAAGAGCACTTGGGCTCCGCTTTGAAATAAATAAATAAACAAATAATTATTATTCTGCCTCAGAAAAGCCATTCTTATCCCTGTTTATTTTTCTCACACCTCATAGCCTGCCTGCCTGCCCTGTCCTCCTTTCCTGCTCTTATTTCCTTCAGTCAGCCTAACATCTTTCTTATAACACATTGTCTCCACAAAGCCAGAAACTACACAGGACTCCAGGTTCTATTGATTTAGCTCTAGGGGGGAGGGGGGTGTCTCTGCTGAAAACAGCATCTGCAACCATCAACTTAGCAAGACATTCCTGTCTCCCACTTTTTCACAGGTAGGTGTCCTGCTGTGAGCAAATCTATATTTGCTGTAGAACTGGTAAGGAAGCAAAGAACAATGGACATGAAGAATGTGTGTATGCAAAGAATAGCACTTTGAAGAAATATTCCTGTAAGACTATTCTGAAATATGTGTAAGCACACAGGTACTTAGAATGTTAGTGCAAGGCAAGCTCATTCAGTTAAACTGCCTGTTAGCTTCAAGCCCTTTTTTCTAAAAACCTGTCAAATTATAACTGAGGTTAGCTGGCTAGGGAAGAGGTGACTGGTTCTTTAGTGATACCAGTTTTGGGGAAAGGGACAAATTGTTTTCACCTGACTGCAGTGGCTTTACATTCTCTCCAAAAATCAATGTCTCCCTGTGACTTGTATGGCCAAAATTAAAATTGAGCTTCAGATTGTGACAAATACTTTGCCAGTAGTATGTAATATGTCAATACTTGTTTTTATGGAGAAAATCTGTGGCTGATGGGACAATAAATAACTTACTGGGAAATAAGTTCCACTGAAATCAGTATCACTGCTGAGTAAACATAATTTGGAATAATCTGTGAAACAATGGAATACATGGTATGCAGTTAACTGCTTATTAGATTAGTATAAATTAAGGCATCTGATAGATCAGTACAGAACATAGATGTCCCAACCACTTCCTGTTTCTTCTGGCTGCAAGGAGGAATTGTATAAATATCCTTGTGGGCCAAATGTTAGAGGATATGCCCGCTTGTAATGAGATGTACATTTAGATAATTTTCAATTGCTGGTAAGCAAGACTGCAATCCTATGCACATTTACTTGGAAGCAAGTTCAGTTGTATATTGAACTTGGGATTTACAGTACTTTTTGCAAAAGCAAAAAATTCTGAAGGCTACAATCCCTCATGCACAATTACTAGGGAGTAGCTGCCCTTGATCTTTATATAAGTTACTTTCAAGTACTGGTCAGTATGTGTAAGTTTTGGGCTCGAACAGACAAATGACATGCTCAATATGCAGTCCTATGCCACTTACCTGGGAGTAAGCCCCATTGAACTCAGTTCTGAAGTTAGTGTGCCCAACTGTGCAGCCTTTGGTTTGCTATTTAAACAAAAAATCAATCCATCTTTCTAGCCTCAGCACTCTTGAAATGGATCTCAAAGTAAAAAACAACAACAATCCAGTAATACCACAATGTTGTAGACAATAAACACACAGCACTTCGTTAAACTAATTGTCTCCCATAAGAGGCAGTAGTGACCATCACCTTATTTGGTTTTAAAAGAGATTTAGACAAAGGCTATCAGTGGCTACCAGGGACGCGGGTGGCACTGTGGGTTAAACCACAGAGCCTAGGACTTGCCGATCAGAAGGTTAGCGGTTCGAATCCCCGCGACAGGGTGAGCTCCTGTTGCTCAGTCCCTGCTCCTGCCAACCTAGCAGTTCGAAAGCACATCAAAGCACAAGTAGATAAATAGGTACCACTCCGGCGGGAAGGTAAACGGCGTTTCCGTGCGCTTCTCTGGTTCGCCAGAAGCGGCTTAGTCATGCTGGCCACATGACCCAGAAGCTGTACGCCGGCTCCCTCAGCCAATAAAGCGAGATGAGCGCCGCAACCCCAGAGTCAGCCACGACTGGATCTAATGGTCAGGGGTCCCTTTACCTTTACCTTTTATCAGTGGCTACCAGCCACAATAACTATGTTCTACCTCCACCATTAGAGACAGAGTTGTAGAATTCTGAATACCAGTTGCTAGAAACTGTAGAGAGAGAGAGATACTGTGCTCAGATCCTGCTTGTGGCTTCCCACAGACATGTTCAACACCTTGCTTGTTGGTCTGCAGGGTCCCTCAGGGTTCTCTTCTGTCCCCATACTACTTAACATTCACATGAAAATGCTAATGACACCCAGCTCCTAAATCCAAGGAAGCTGTCTCGGTTCTAAACTGGTATCTGACATCAGTAATGGAGTGGATGAAGGTGAACAAACTGCAACTTCATCCACATAAGACTAAGTGCTATGGTCAGCTGGAAAGCAGAACAAGGAATCCAGCATGTGCTGGATGGGAGTAACACTCCACCTGAAGTCACAGGTTTATAGTTTGGGCATGCTCCTGGACTCAGGCCTGAGCATGGACAAAACATGGTAAACAGATAAAACATAATTCAGCTTGAACTATCAGCATCTGGTATTCACAACAGGATAACTTATACACAGCTATAAGACAGAGATGGGACTGCAGAACATCTTCATTTGCTCTACTGAAAGGCCAGCTGCTTTAGGCTCCTTCTTTCCTTGAGCTCTTTACATTCCAGCTGGTCACTACAAGAACTCTACAAAAGCAACTGTCCATCTCGCTGACTTGTCTACTCTGACTGACAGCATCTCTCCAGGGTTTGGCGCAGGGGCTTTTTCTAGCCCCACCTGGAGATGCTGGGGATTGAATTGGGGACCTCCCTGCATGCAAGGGAGATGCTCTACAACTGAGCTGTGGTGTTGTATAGAGTGGTCACTTATATGCAATTCCAAAAAAGAGGAACGAATAACCAAAAAGTACAAAAGAGGAACATATGTTTGCATAAAAATTGCATATACAGTACTAATTAATAGTAATAGATGCAAATTTAGAAATGATTAATTTAACTATAAATACAGTACATCTCATCATTGTGAGGAAGGCTATGATTAGAGCTGTGTGCCAGGTGATCTGACAGCTCATTCTGCTGTCCAAGTGCTAACTGTTGAACTGTTAATTTCCCTTTTTATGGCTCATTACACTAGGCTTGGACCGAACGCCACCTCAAAAAAACAAGACACCTTCAAATAGAAGACTGCCCTCCATTTGAAGGACACATGGCCACCATAATTCTGTAACAAAAAAGTGCCTCAACTTGCTTCCCTGCTCCCAGTGTCTCCTCCCTTTTCCTTTTGCTGTCAGACTGCAAGCCTGAGAGCAGGGACTCTTATTACTAATATTATGAACAGGTAGTATTTGATGATGATATTTTAACTGCTTTATTTTCCCATTTTCCATGGATATTTTTTTTTACGTGCACCACTTAGAAATGCAAATAAAATAATTAAGCCCCATATAAATGTATTGAATATTTTTAAAATGCAAACTGCTTTGGGGTCACTTGGTGATGAAAAGTGATATATAATTAATATGTTGTTCTGGCAGCCTTTTTTCAGCTGAATAACAGGGTAAAAAAAAAACTTTAAACAGACAGAAAGAAAACAAAGCTTAGGCTGCATATACACTAGGGACAAGGATCTATGCCATGCTTCCTCAACCTCGGCCCACCAGATGTTTTGAGACTACAATTCCCATCATCCCTGACCTGCTAGCTAGGGATCATAGGAGTTGTAGGCCAAAGGTTGAGGAAGACTGATCTATGCTCTCATTGTTTATAAAGTGCCATGTACATGGACTATTGTTGCTGCAGCTGTTAGGATCCTGAGAAACTGCCTTATACCGCATCAGACCATTGGGGCCATCTAGCTCAGTACTGTATTGTCTACATTGAAAGACAGCAGCTCTCCAGGGTCTGCAGGCAGGGATCTCTCCCAGCAGCCCTGCTTGGTCTGAACAGCAAGGACCTTTGCATACCAATGTTGCAGTTACCTATTTCATTATTATTTCACAAAAGGGACTTGCCGATCATAAGGTCGGTGGTTTGAATCCCCGCGACAGGGTGAGCTCCCGTTGCTCGGTCCCTGCTCCTGCCAACCTAGCAGTTCAAAAGCACATCAAAAGTGCAAGTAGATAAATAGGTACCGCTCCGGTGGGAAGGTAAACGGCGTTTCCATGCGCTGCTCTGGTTCGCCAGAAGTGGCTTAGTCATGCTGGCCACATGACCCGGAAGCTGTACGCTGGCGCCCTCGGCCAATAAAGCGAGATGAGTGCCGCAATCCCAGAGTCGGTCACAACTGGACCTAATGGTCAGGGGTCCCTTTACCTTTGTATACAGACTGATTGTAGGGGGAGGGAAACTACCTGCAAGTGGTTTACCAAAAAATTATCACTACAACCATAATTTTAAACATGCAGAAAGCAATAGGTAAAGGTAAAGGGACCCCTGACCGTTAGGTCCAGTCGCGGACGACTCTGGGGTTGCGGCGCTCATCTCGCTTTATTGGCCGAGGGAGCAGCAGAATGGGCTAAAACAAATAAAAACCCATACAAATTTTCTAAACATCTGTCCAAACTTGTCTAAATAACGATGGCTTCGGAAAAGAACACATTGAAAAACCCTGGCAGGGAGTTTCAAAATGTCGGGGCCCCCACGCTAAACGATCGAGTTCTTACAAACGCGGCCGCACTAAGCAGATACTGATCCCACTCGCCCAGACTTTCCATCCGTTACGGCCGGCCGGCCGCCCGTCGCTCCAACCACATTTGCCTGTCAAAGGAGAACGACGCAAACTGGCCTTGTCGGCCGCCGTAGGTGCAGGCTTTAGCTTGGGTTTCTTCTGTTGCCCGGCAACCGAGCCTGGGGTTCCTTGGGCTAATCAGTCAGCGCGTAGAGGGGACTCCTCGCGGGTCGGAGTGACGTCTGCGTGGAGGAGGAGGGACTCTGGGACCTCATAACGGGGTGAGATCAACCAGCTTGCTCATTTTGGCCCTCGGGGCAGGGTGACCAGAGGAGGGGAGGGTTGCTACCTCGTTCTCACAATGGACGGGTCCAGGCATCTTGGAGGAGCGACGATGGGCGAGACGACCACTAGGGGAAGAGGGGACAAAGGAGAGAGAGAGAGAAAAAAATCTTGCGCATCGTAACCGAGAAGTAGCCCCGCTCTGCCCCCAATATAGCGGGATTTATTCCCAAGTGAGCATGCGTAGGATTGGGTCTGGATCCACAATGGGCAGCTTGTTATGCACAGAGGCGAGTAAGATTGCAAGTTAACTGCAGGTGACCTTTTTTTGCAGCTCTGTAACTCGGCGAGGGGAGCCGGGTGGTCTCTGGCTATTAAGCAGCTGCTCACAAAACCATTAAAAGAGCGGCAGCATTGAGGCAGGAGCCCCAGACCTACTGGGATTGAGCTGGGTTTACTTCCAAGTAAATGCGCACGTAGGATCGGGTTGTGTGTTCAGACAGGTTGGCGGGGGAGAATGTAATTTTGGGAGTGCTGTAATTACCCTGAAGTGGCCAGATGAATATTAATTCACCCTCCTGACGAGAGAGTAAAATGTAGCGGCCGTAACATATGTTATCATTTCAGTGAGAGAAGAGGACTTGGATTTTAACTGCCAAGATGCAGGCATTAATGCCCGATCCTCAGATTTATGTTGAAAGAACCCTGGCCATCATTAAACCAGATATCATCAACAAAGAAGAAGAAATAGAAGATATCATTCTCAGATCTGGATTCACCATTGTTCAGGTAACCTGAAAAGAAAGATGTTTCATGTAGTCAAGTGTGTTTAAAATTAGCAAATCATATAATTACAAGGTCCTTGCCCTGATTTTAAATTATGCTTTTGATCTGCTAGTCATACCAAGCACTCTCTATAATCTCTATAATAAACAAATATTTTTGTGTTCAAGTAGAACACGGTATAGGGGACGCGGGTGGCGCTGTGGGTTAAAGCCTCAGCGCCTAGGACTTGCCGATCGAAAGGTCTGCGGTTCGAATCCCCGCGGCGGGGTGCGCTCCCGTTGCTCGGTCCCAGCGCCTGCCAACCTAGCAGTTCGAAAGCACCCCCGGGTGCAAGTAGATAAATAGGGACCGCTTACTAGCGGGAAGGTAAACGGCGTTCCGTGTGCTGCACTGGCTCGCCAGATGCAGCTTGTCACGCTGGCCACGTGACCCGGAAGTGTCTCCGGACAGCGCTGGCCCCCGGCCTATAGAGTGAGATGGGCGCACAACCCTAGAGTCTGTCAAGACTGGCCCGTATGGGCAGGGGTACCTTTACCTTTTACCTTTAGAACACTGTATACTTAGAATATGCTTTTATTTGTTTGTTTGTTTGTTTGTTTGTTTGTTTATTCATATTATATATTTATATCTTGCCTTTCAGGATATAACTTTTGCAGGTGACTTATAAGTAACATCAGTGAAAATGCATTAATACAATAACAATGAAAATATCAAAAGTCAGGATCCTTCCTGCGTGGAAGTGAGTGGTAGGCAGTCCTGCCAGCTGAAGCCAGTATGGTGGTACCTTGGTTCAAGAACAGCTTAGTTTATGAACAACTTGGATTAAGAACGCTGCAAACCCAGAAGTAGGTGTTTTGGTTTGTGAACTTTGCCTGGAAGCAGAACATGTTCCGCTTCCTCTTGAGTGTAAATTGAGTCCCCCACTGCTGTGAGAAAGCACGCCTTGGTTTAAGAACGGACTTCCGGAATGGATTAAGTTCTTAAACCAAGGTACCACTGTACCTGGTTTTCTCTGCTACCTCCAGAGATTTATGGTTTCTTCAAGACAGTGACTTAAACAAATTGTTCAGATATAAAAAACAGATTATTGGCATCAGTTCTTTTTTTTTTAACACTGGATTTTCTGTAGAAATTATGAAACCAAATTAAATGGGTGTGTGTGCAAGATATGGGCTAGGACTTTGATACCCCAGACATTGTGCAGATGCAGCAAAAAAGTGCATGCACCAGCAGCACCTATCCCACAATAAGCACCTGTCATGTCAAATTAACATTCTTCTGCCTCACAGTACTCAAACTCAAAATAGGTGAACACCAGTTCAGACTCATTATACACCATCATTCACACACCATCATAACAAATATTTTTGTTGTTCAAATGTGTTGGCAGATGTTTGCTGTTGGCTAAGACTGCTAAAACTTAATGCTTCTTCCATAGGGGAAGTACTGTATTGCAATAACAAACTAATGTTTGAAACTGGCCACTTGATGTCGCTATTGCACAGCTTAGGCTCGTTTTAAGAAAACAAATGCAGTTTCAGTTTTGCAAACAAGTAATCATTGTTCTTCCCAAAATATTTCTTCTCGGTATATTTCACTTGTTATACTAGCACAAAATTTGAACAGTAATATGCTTTATTATAAAGAAAAGAAAACTTACCATGAGCCAAGTGAGCTGAGTTGAATTAATATGTTTGATTTGTATCAGATAATGTGAATATTGAGAATGGATTGACCCTTTCTATAGAAAATCTGATGTTGGGGAAAACTCCAACCACATCTGCTTACAGATCCTCCTAAGACCTCAGATGAGACCTAAGAAGCTGCCTTATGACAAGTTAGACCACTGGTCCACTTAGCTCAGAACTTTCAACACCGAGTGACAGTGGTTCTCCAAGGTTTCAGTCATGAGTGTCTTTTTTAACCCTACCTGGAGATGCCAAGGACTGTACCTTGCACTTTCACTGTGGAAAGCAGGTGCTCTATCTTTTAGAGGAAAAAGAAAGAGATCTGGGTATCATCATTCATCAACTTACTGGTGGCATCGGACTCCATATTTCCAAACAGGCTTACCAAATTGCCTTATATTGGCCTGATTTATACCAGCACCATGTGGCTTAGCTGCTTAGAAGTGCAACTGCATGAAACTTGCTGCAGGATAGTTGTATGAAGTAGGTCCACAAATGCTTGAAAAAGAGAATTTGTGGTGATGCGATAAAATAGGGAAATTGCCACAACCATGTAGGGAGCTGCTTCACAGAAATTGCTTTTCATGTGGAACAGCTTGTGTGGTTCAGGCCAAACATAGTAAACATGAAAGGGAACCATGCAGGGATATGGCAGGGGAGAGGTGGGAATAATCCAGTCCTGTTGCCAAGGTCACTAGCACCCCGTGATCAACATCAATAGTATTAAAGGCCCAAAACTGGATCATTGGTAATTCCTCCATTGAACTCCAGGTGGCGTCCATTGATCAAGATCTCAAACACAGTCTCTTCTGCATTTTTCTTTCCTCCCTTCACTTTTGAGCCTAGGGCAGGTATCAGGCTGTACTGTAGAAGTATTGGGACAGCAGGGCCTTTTGCTGCCTAGGGTAAGGACAAGAAAGCATCTGTTCCCCATTCCATGTACTGGCAACTGACTGGACTGGCAGCTGAATCTTACTTTCACAATTGTGAAGGGATAGCATCTTCCCCAACACTTCAGGCTAGTTTAGAGGGCCATGCAACAAGTCGCATAGCATACGCAACTCTGTCAGAGGGGAATGGCTTGGGGAGCTTAGGATGAACAGCCAGGAGGCCACTGCTTCCCCTCATGTTGCCTGAGGTGGACTCCTCACTTGTAGGCCTGGTTCTGGAAAAGAGATTGCTGGAAAATAAAGACCAATGCTTACCACCATTCGTCTGTCTTGAGAGTGCTTCTCCAGGGTTGAAATCAAACTGCTGCGTTAGCAGCATCCAAGTGACCTCCCTGGGGTGCCAGCCTGCAGAGCGTGTATGGAGGTCCTGGGCTGCCCAGACAAGACCCCCTCTCGGCCTTGCTGATGTGGTCCAAAGGAAAGCAGAGCAATATGTTTGGTACCAGCTTCGCTGCAGGGATTGCTGGAAAAAGACATACAAGGCACCATATCACCGTCTTAGAGTCTCCACTCTGGATTTCTCCCAAAGATATAGCAAAAGGCAGCAGAGGTTTAGAATCAGAGTTTTCCTTTTCCTAGATGGGCTACCTTACCAGGTAGACAAGCCCTGACTTCCCTCTACAGCATGTACAGAATCTGCCTTCTTTACTGTTGTGTTGATCCCACCTGCTCAATCTGCCAGAGCCTGTCTTCACATGCAGGGGAAATCCCTAACTCACCAAGGGTTTTTTGACCCATCAGTTGCTCTCACATGGATTAGCCAGCTAGTCAAAGCCATTTTCCATGATGTGGCCGCAGTCGCATGCTGACAGTTTCTAGGAGCCACAGCTGAGAGCTGAGTGCAGGGTGAGGACCAAAGGGGGACAAACTATCCCAGAAGAAACATGATGTGTCCCCCATGAGAGGTACTACCCCTCCGCTAGCACCCTATAAACCCAATACTTAAGTAATAAGATATGTTAATGCTAACTGCAGTGCTTTATTATCTTGGAACAATGGTTTTAAGGAGCTATTTCTCTTTCCCTCTTTCTCTTTTTTTTCTTCCAGAAACGAAAGCTCCAACTAAGCCCAGAGCAGTGTAGCAACTTCTATGTTGAACAATATGGAAAAATGTTCTTTCCTAACTTAACATCTTATATGAGTTCTGGACCTTTAGTTGCGATGGTTCTCGCTCGGCATAATGGTATCTCATATTGGAAGGACCTGCTTGGGCCCTCAAATACCATAGTAGCCAGGGAAAATTTTCCTGACAGGTAAAGTACTCCATTCACAGGACTTACGAACCACCTACCCCCAAATAGTCCAGCTGAAGTTAATGGATGTAATATTTTCACTTTCAATATTTTCAGTTATAACCATTCTTTTACAAAATGAGTGTAGGGTTGTGACAATGCAGTTCAAAATAATTCACAAGGCCAGCTTATTGCAAATTCATTTTTTAAGGTTTACAAGCAGAGCAAATCAGATTATGGGACTCCATCATGCAGTGTGACCACTGACAAACTGCCAGTGCAAACACCACTACCTCCTAACCCTGTTAGCTGCTGGGGCCATAGCCAGGGGAAAGCCCCAAAGTTCAGTAGATGCCACAAAGACGTGTCCATGGCACCCATAGCAATTCCACCAGCAGCCGCCAATCTAAACACACCACCCAGCAAGCATGCCCGCCGCATCCAACACAACTGCGTCAATCAGCAACACATGCACGTCTCACGTGCTTCAGGGTGACACCATAAACAAAGCACATAGCCACAACAGGATTCCAAGAGCACAGTCACCACACTTCCTGCGGCCACCCACACACCACTGTTTGTGTTTGTAGCTATGCATTTGATACATGAAGGGTATATATATCCAGGGTTTATGTGCCACTGTGCATTGATTGGCCACAGTGCTCTGCTGCATTCAAGAGCACTCCCATCCTATTGTCAGCAAGGGTGGGGTCGGTTATTCCCAAATCAGGCCTGCCCCTTGTTTCCACTTCTGCCAGCCCTTTCATTGGCAAAGGATCCACCCAGTTTTGGCTTTGAGTGGGGCTTTGATGTGACCAAGCACACCCCTCCTCCTGCTTGCATACCCTTTCAGGGGCATTCTGCCAGGCACTTTGGCAACAGATGTAACCTTTGCCCATTGGGATGTCTGTACCAGGCAAATGGTTTTCTACTGGCAGAGGGAGGGGGTATTCTACAGGCATGGCTGCCCTCCATCAAGAACCTTGGTTCTACCGTATCCCAGCTGCCTCTCGACTTCCAGATCAAACATATTTAGCAAATTCAAGTCCAGGCATGTAAGGCCTAGATACAGTCAGCCCAACCAGTCTGTGCCACCTATACTTCTTCAATTTAGGATACATCTATAGGTTGATTGCTCTTGGAGAAAGGAGCAGAGTAATAATGGAGTGAAGTACGAGAGGCAACCTTTATGTTATATATGTGAATATATGTGACTTACTATTTTTATGCACATTTTTTCAATTTAATAGACCAAGTTATTTTGTATATTAAAAACCCAATTAAACAGTGTATTATTGTACCAGTGACTGAATATATTAACATCTCTCTATGGTTTGTAGCTTAAGAGCAATTTATGGGACAGATGATCTAAGGAATGGACTTCATGGCAGTACCAGCTTTTCCTCAGCTGAAAGAGAGATCCGGTTCATGTTTCCTGAAGGTACATAATTATTGCCATCTAGAATTAGCATTACATAGAGGAAAACCATTTGTTCTCTCCCTCCACACCTGCCTCATTCAAATATAGTCTACCTTTTAGGGCAGCTTGTTTCTCCCTCTGCACTGGTATGAGGGAAGAGTTGGGATGGCGGTTTCACTCAGCGGTATATTGCTGGTGAAACAGCCACCGCTACAGCTTGTTTTTCCCTCAGGGCGCTGGTGGTAGAGGGACTCAGGAGCGGCAGTGGTTTCACTCACAATATACCGGTGAGTGAAGCCGCCATCACATTCTGCCCCTCATACCAGTCCCAGGCGATGTATCAATACATTGCCCAGGCCTAGCCACCAGTCAGGAGTGATGGAACCTGGAGTCCCACAGGGCCACAAGTTTCCCATCCCTTTGCAAAGCCATACTGCAAAATGATGTGCCTTGCTGCATATGTGTGTCTGCTTGGTTTTTTTGTAAGCAAGCAAAGGATTATATTTGACCTTTTGTGGAAGAAGTAGCCAACATGTTGCTGAACTACACCTCCCATCATTCTTGACCTTTTGTCATGCTGGCTGGGGTTGATGGGAGTTGAAGTCCAACAACATCTGGAAGCCCTATATTGGCTTTGTCGGCTCTACAGCATTTTTGTAATTTCTGAGCTTCTCAAATCTGATACGGTTTGTGTATGTCAGACAATATTTATGATTCAAGCATTTTTGAAAGATGTCCCATAGAATAGAAGAAGTCTTTCATGTGGCTGGCGCTAGCAACTCCCCTGGAGACAAAATACGTTTTCTCTTATAAATTGGATAGATTATATGTTAATCCTTCCCTTTGATACAAGTTCCAAAGTAGATAACCCCAATCAGCTTTGTCCTGTATCAACAGTGTGCTGAAGAATCAGCCCCTATGACTCCTTTAGCCTTAAGGTCTTTTAATAAGATAAACAAATCTAGGGTTTATCCATGTGCTGTGTTCATGCTACCTGAAGCTTTGCAGTTTTTGTTTAGATGAATGTTAACAACCAGATTTTCAGTTATTTTCACATTCAACAGGAAAACTATATTGAGGTTCTTGAAATGGCAGGATAGTGAGGAACTGCTCAGCCACAGTGCCTCAGTCTTGCCAGGATTCAGGCTCAGCTTATTTTTCCTCATCCATTTCACCACTGTAATCAGGCAATGGCCCAGGGCCTACAAGGCCTCTCCTGATTAAGATATTATGGAGAAATAGAGCTAAATGTCATCATCATACTGATGACACCTTGCCCCCAAACTCCCAATGACCGCTCCCAACGGCTTCATGTAAATAATAAATAGCACTGGAGATAAGATAAACAGTAGAAAATGGAGCCCTCAAGGATTGGTATGGGGAACTGTGTTGTTATTTTATTCATAAACGAACTAGAGTTAGAGGTGAGCAGCAAGGTGCCAAGTTTGCTGATGATACCAAATTGTTTGGCATGGTTAAAACACAAAGCCATCAAGAAGCGCTCCGAAAGGAACTCTGCAAACTGAGTGAATGTGTGGTAAATGGCAAATGCAATTCAATGTAAACAAGTGATGCATATAAGGGGGCGGGATTAATGCCACATATAGCTCATGGGGTCTGAACTGGTGGTGACTGACCAGGAGTGAGACCCAATGTGCATAGGAATATTGGAAAAGGGACTGAAAATAAACTTGCCAGTATGATAAAGCCATCATATAAATCTGTGGTGTGATCACATCTGTACACTTCTAGTTGCCTTACCTCGAAAAGGATGCCATAGAACTGGAAAAGCTTCAGAAAGGGGCAGACAATTCAAGAGCCTGGAAAGCTTACAACATTTGGGGATTTAATGAGTTTAGAAAAAGGGTGGAACATGATAGAGGTGCATGGGATTATATGTGGTGTGGAGAAAGTAGATGGAGAGAAGTTTGTCCCACTCATAATACTAGAATTTGGGGTCCTCCAACAAAGCCATGTTGGAAGATTCATGACAGATGAAATAAAGTCCTTCACACAGTGCATAGTTAAACTAGGAAATTCTCCCACAAGATGAAGCAGTGGCCACGAGCTTGGACAGCTCTCAAAAGATTAGACAAATTCGCAGAGGATAAAGCGATCAATGTCTACTAACCATGATGGCTATTGTCCTCCACTGTTGAAAGCAGTACGCCTCTGAATACCAGTTTCTGGGGGTCACAAGAGAAGAGAATACTCTTAACACTCAGGTCCTGCTGTGAGCTCCCATGGACATCTGGCTGGCAGTTGTGAGAACAGGATGCTAGACTTTGGTCTAATCCAGCAGGCCTCTTAGGATGGGCTCTTCTAATTCAGACATTACACTCTATGAGCATGAGGTCTACTTCCAGTCTTGTTATCTGAACAGGGTCTGGGGGCAGGGGAACATAATCTGAACCATTTGAAAGAAAATACCAGGATCTCATATAGCCAGTGAGTACTAACTACACATTTATCATGTTAGAAACTGACCATCTGGAAATGCCTTTGTTCATTATCTAATGAATTAGGGGTGGCTTAGGATAGCTTTCCCCACCACTATCCCAAGGTCAGCTGTTATTATTTGTTTCTGTAGAACAACTTCATTAGGTGATGAGCCAATGAATTCAGTAAAGTTTCGTGCTGAATGACATTGGGAGCAACACACTGTATCTGTTCTCTGCATTGTTTTGTGAGAAACAAAATAGCTTAGCTGCTAATAACTATAGAGAACAAGCATAAAATAGGTTCAACATTTGAAAGTAATATATAGTTTTATATCTGTGGGAGGAATTCAACATCTGTGGGAGGAATTCAAGCTGATTTCTCTGTCAGCACAAGCATTTCTCCTTGCCTGGTGGAGTGATCTGCCACCTCAGGCTGTTCCAGAGCCACTTTGTGGAGCAGGGAAAGAAGGAAGAAGTCTTCTTGTGCTAGCAGAAGTGCTTGCCACAGGTTTCCACTAGCAGGGCTCTTTAGCTGAATCTTGTTCAATACGTTGGCAGTAAAATATGTAATTCCTTTTCCTAGTGATTATTGAACCAATCCCAGTCGGGCAAGCTGCTAAGGATTACCTGAGCCTTTATGTCACCCCCACCCTGCTGAAAGGACTTACGGAACTGTGCAAGAGGAAACCAGCAGATCCTTTTGTATGTATCACAATGACTGCCACTGTCAAGCCTAGAACACAACTGATGGCCTCGGGTTCATGCGGGGGGACGGACCTAATTCCACCCCCACTGCCTATGAGGAGCTGGCCCTTGTGGTATCAAGAATGGGAATGCAAAAGAAAAATTGACAGCAGATAAGAGCAGTACTTCTCTATCTGCATATTTAGTCTGGATCCATTGAGCCAGAATACCCATGATCAATTATTCTTTGCATGTAAGGAGCAGTCTAGACTGCCTGCCTCCTTCCTCAACTCCTCAGACAAACAGGTTCATTAAAAAAACAAAAACAAAGATGAGAATCATTGGAAGCAAAGTGTATTGGTTTTAAGAAGAGTTCCCCTATTAAGAATTAGTTGAGGAAATGGGAATTATTTAGGGAAACTGGGTAAATTGGGTTCATTCTGAGTGAGATTCGATATGCAGAGATGCAGGACTTGAATTCTCCCAATCAGCAAAACTTTTGTTCATATGAAAATGAAATTGAAGATAACCTGTTTCTTCTTTTTTCTTCTATAGACATGGCTGGCTGATTGGCTAATTGAACATAATCCCAACACACCTAAATTGCGACATAATGTGATAATAGAGGAACCTTAAGGAGGAAAAGTCAATTGCAAGATGTTGAAACTCTTGAGAGACTGTCAGTTAAAAACATAATTATTTAGATTTTGCCGACTACTGTCTTTTGCATTTCTTATTAATATTAACATGAAATAGTTTGAAAATAGTATATAAATAAATCTATATTTGGAACTTGAATAAAGAACCATTTGTAGCAAACAATGGATGTCAAATAATGTAAGAGTTGGGTTAAAGTAAATTACCCACAATTGCTTTTGGGTTTGCGATCAGCTGAGAGGTGACTTCTTTTCATTTATACTGCTATTAACCAGTTCTTGTTTCAATTTGTACAGCTCTTTGCAGATGTTACACTTGACCAACAATTTGTGCAATAACATCTTGAGTCCCAGTGTTTATTCAAAGTCAAATATGTTTATTCAAAGAAATAACAGAGCAGAGCTACTGCCCACCCCCTGCCCAATTTGTTGCTTTCCTCAACGCGTATGGTTGGCCACTGTGGAAAACAGGAGACTGTCCTAGATGGGCCCTTGATTGGACCCAGGAGAACTCTTTCCACCCAAAGTAGTTCCTCTGTTTAATTTTAGTCTCTGATCTGCAAAAATCTAGAATTGAATCTTCCATTGATGTCATTCCTGAAGTTTTACAATCAATTTTCTGTTACTCAAAAAAGAAATATTCTTCTAAAGATGGGAGCACATAGCTGCTGTTTATACACTTGCTTTAAAACAAATTATGTATATATCACAATATATTCAAGCCTCCTATGCTATCTGTGCAGTAGGCCTTGTACACAAACACTCTAATGACTATTTTCAACTGAAATTTCTTATATATTTACACCAATCTAAAATATATGGGTTAAATCCAATTGTGCCCTTATACTCCCAGATCCAGGAAGACAGCTTTGCTAATGAAATGGGGAGGTTGATGATTTTTCTTCAATTCCTCCTCCCCACTGAAGCCATCTGTAAAAATGGTCTTCCATCTCCCATTAGTAGAGATGTCTGCTAGATCAGCCATGTCTGTAGGTATGGAACTCAAATAACATAATAAAAGCACCTAATTATAATGCACAAAGGAAACGACTCACAGTTTACATGAAATTTCCATCTCAGCCTAGGATAATAGGAGCACTAAGTCATGACCTTCACTGGAATCCAGTTCCTTTAAGTGATGCAACAAGAGAACATTCTTCGAGGTGTGACTTCTAATCACTATTTCATCATGATGGGAAAAGCTACACCTGATTAAATTAAGGCTTCTATGCAACTCAGAAAGCCTAAGGGGTCATCTCAACATCTGGACCTGGGGGCTGTGGCTGTTAATTTGATTGTGTTTATTTATTAAATCACCCATTCATTCTTTTATCTATGTCCCGTTCCCCAAGGAGCTCAAAGCACTGTACATTTTATTATCAAACTGTGTAAAGAAGCCAAACTCGGGAAATTAAATTCCTAGGCTATAGTTATCAATAACACTTTCTGGGAAAAAATCCATTGACCCATTTAATAGCACTTATCTCCTGAGTTCCCGTACAGTAGTCATTAATCTTGGCCACCCTTTAGAGATTAGGATCCTAAATTGGCTAATCTTGACATACACACCCTTTAAGGATTAGAATTGCAGATTGGCCATTGCATTGTAATAAATTAATTGAGTAAAGTAACTGACATGAAAGGAGCAGATTAAGGACACCAACTTTTCTGCTTTTCAAACCAAGGTTTGGGGAGTTGATGCTCTCTAGAGCCAAACTTAGAAGACTTTGGTTTTGTTGAACTTGCTGTTCCAGAGCAAGGAATATAAACTGCTTTATTCTACTGATGGGTGGCAGACCTAGAGAAGTGGGGAGTATAAGCTCTAGGTAGAGATGCTTTTGGCTACAAAGAGGGCTGTAGTGTCTGCCTACTAGTCTGAACATTTCAGGTGTGAAATGTGCATCCACATACACACCTGGCATTGTGTCTACAGCATGAGAATATTTTAGAAAACCATACTGAATCATTTTTGCACTTTGATGTTGTTTATTTGCAAATGTCAGTTCAAATACATAGACATGCAGACCCTCACATAATGCTGCTAAAGTAAAAAGATTTTTTTTTTTTTAATGTCCAGTAGCACCTTCGAGACCAACTAAGTTTGTTCTGGGTATAAGCTGCAAGGGTACAGAGAAAAGGGGAAACCCAGAAACTGCTGTTCTGTTAACAGAAAGAGAAATCCTCTTCCCTTGAAACAGGATCATAGTACTACAAATCATGCCTATATATGTGCATATGTAGAGTGCCTTCCTCCAGTGTTCTGAGCTCTCTGTTACTGCCTCTTGACCAGAAAAGTATCCAGCCCCCTGGAGTCCCAAACACATCAGAGACGTGATTGATAAGTATTGCCTCCTAGAGAATGGCTGCTGACCAAATTGCTGTGGTACCACCCCCTGCTAGCTCATGATAGAGTGACACTCCCATCAACTCAGAGGGAAGTCCCTTGTTGCTCTTCTCAGCATTGTGGCAGCAGTTAATGGCAAGTGGGCGGGAAGAACAGCTTGCAGACAAATGGGGGAATGATACCTCTCATCATGAGAACATTAAAGGGTTGAAAATGTCTCCAGTTTTATGGCATGAATTTCCCCCTTGCAGAATGGCAGTGTAAAAAAGATGTCCCGGGGTAGTAATTTCATGAAGGGTTACTGCATTGGACACAGAAAAAAATAGGCTGTAATCGGGTCTTCACTTACCTGTCAGTAATCCCATTACATTCAGTGGGTCTTGCTTCTTAGTAGATTGCACTGTTAAGAATGTACATGTGGCGTAAAACCCCAATGTACTCAGTGGAACTCTCGGTAAATATGTAGAACCTCATATGTAGTTCAGATTATGTCTTGTGTCACATAAATGTTTGGCTTGAGTAACTTCAGTTACAAGCTCATCAAATCAAAGATATTACCCAAACCATTTGAGTTTTGAGTAAGCATAGAAGCAATGAAAGAAAAGCAACATTCCTGCAAAGTGTCAATCACTTCCCATTGAGGTCAGCACCAAACACGCCACCAATCTGAATAGAAATAGGATGCATCTGCTATATAGTGAATTCAGTTGTTGACTATTAGAAAATGGTCGGAAAACTACTGGTGGATTCAAATTACAAGAAACGAGATTCCCACTAAGCATTAGGAAGAACATTCTGACAATAAGAGCTGCTTGACAGTGGAACAGACTCCCACGAAAGGTGATGGAATCTTCTTCCTTGGAGGTTTTTAAGCAAAGGTTGGATGGCCATCTGTCATGGATAATCTAGTTGAGATTCCTGCATTGCAGGGGGTTGGACTAGATGACCCTCAGAATCCCTTCCATCTCTGCAAATCTGTGATTCTATAGTGCATTCCTTTTTGTTTTATTTTAAATATATAGTGATGCATTTTGTGGGAAGAGAGAGTTATTTGCCACAATATGTTTACTATTCTGTCCTTAACAATTGGAAGGAGGGAGGAGCAATATAATTTGTATAAGTAAGTAAATAAACAGAAGCTAGAAGCTGCATTTATTTGGGCTAGTTGACATTTGTTTATGGATTGTAATAGTTCCTTCTTGCTGGGTGGCATTTGTGTTGGGAGTACAAATGACAGCAATATTTTGAATGCATCTCGTTTCTGTGCTGAGGGCTCTTTGCTCTCTATGTGAGAACATTCCAAGGAACCTTTAGCATATGTATGTGAATAAATCTCCTGCCTGCACCATAAAACATTTTACCATGTACCCAACATAAAACAGTCATTACAGGGAAATGGTAAAGCCACGGAGATTAACACATCCTCTCAATCACACCAGCTATTTTTATAATACCTAATTTAGCAAACAAACTGTGAAAGGCATAGATAGCCACAAACCAAGCTGCTAAAATGTGGAAGGCCTATTTCTGCTCTTCACAGCACCTGCCTGAAAACTAGTTTCGCAATGTCTCTTTCACTATGGCCACGAATAAAACTAAGCGCAACTATAGAACGATTTCTGCTGGCATTTTACTAATGCAGTACAGTGCACGCTTATACAGAAATAAGCTACGCTGTGTTCATTGGGGCATACCTTCAGGCAAGTATGCATAGGACTGGAGCCAGTTTATGTGCTTACGTGGACATAAGGCCGACGATAGTACCCCAAAATCCTTGCATGATGGAGAAAATGCCATCGGTTTCTACTGAAATGTAAATGAGTAAGGCCTGCATATACTGGGGCTATTCTAATATATACATCCTTATAAGAAGGAACATTTTGGCAGATAATTATTTCAAATTTATAGGCTTGCATTATGCAAAAATGTTGAGGGTCAGCTTATTCTGTTAAAAACCAATTCATTTTCTCTAAGGTGCCCTGATATCCTATGTTTTGTGTGGGAGTGTTTTATTTTTAAAATGCCATCTTCTAGAATTTCAAAATCCCCAAAGAATGTACATGGATGTTCCTTCTTCTGAATTGGAATAAATCAAGACTAGGACGGGGCTTGGCTAGAATTCAAAATTTGCATAAGATTTTGGCTAATCAATTTGCCATCAAGCTCTGGCTCTCACTTGCTTGTTTGATACAGGTATCAGCTCAGATAATATTTTGGCTCTTCAGATAATATATTTGCTCTTTTTGTTTCTCAGCCAATTTTCTGTCCTCTTGTTGGATTAAGTATCTTGTAAATATAAAATGTATTACATGTTTAGATAGCAAAAAAACAACAACCCCACAGCATTTTATATTCTGTACAAAATAGAATAATAACTATATTCAGATTCTAATACTTGCCTATAACTGCCCTTTCCACGCTCAGTGCCAATGGACAGTTGCATAACCAGGTCAAGTGGCCAGGCCTTGGCACTTATCTGTGTGTCCCTGTTTACTTGGAAGTGAGGTCCACCAATTTCAGTTCAACTTACTCTCCTGCAAGTATAAAATGCATCTAATCAAGTGGAATGTAAATGTGTTGCTCTTTAAGGTGCTACAGGACTTCTTGTTTTTTTTTTGCTGTACTACCATGGCTCTGAAAGTTGTTCCCATGTAAGGGTTGTTCCTATGGAACGTGGGTAGCGCTGTGGGTTAAACCACAGAGCCTAGGGCTTGCTGATCAGAAGGTTGGTGGTTCAAATCCCCATGACGGGGTGAGCTCCCATTGCTCGGTCCCTGCTCCTGCCAACCTAGCAGTTCAAAAGCATGTCAAAGTGCAAGTAGATAAATAGGTACCACTCCGGTGGGAAGGTAAATGGCGTTTCCGTGCACTGCTCTGGTTCGCCAGAAGC